ATTGCGTTGGTCCTGTTTAAATTGTAGATCTATTGAAATTGATCTATTTAAAGTTTATAGGGAGACACGCAATGGCTTTAACGAAATCGGTCGTGATCTTGTAAACCTCACTGAAAAATTTAAGCACTATGAAAAATTTTTCAAATCTTTTAAGTGCCTGAATGATTCTCACGAATCCTCTAAACCTGCTCCTAAGCGTAAACGTCGTTCCGATGAAGTAACACTTAGTTCTTCTGTTCAGAAAAGAACGTCTCCTCCCAATGACCTAATAAATCTCTCTTCTCCTTGCCCTCAAGTTGATAAGCCGTCAACTTCCAAAGAGCTCAATTCCCCAAAAGCTCTATCTAATAGTAATAAGTGTCTCACAATTCCAGAGGCTCCCCCTATTAACTTAGTAGCATCAGTTAATAACTTGATAGTTATTCCACCTAAAAAGTCTATATTTATTTCGAGACTTGCCAAAGATCCCTTGGTGGAGGACATTAAATCTTACATTTCGTCACGTTTAAAAATCGATGATATCAATATACGTAAATTTTACTTCAATTATGATAGAAGTATATCATCGTTTAAAATAGACGTATCTCTTGAAACATTCAAAAAGATCTTAGATAGTTCATTCTGGCCACCTGGGACTTTTGTACGCGAATTTAAACCTAAACTTAGTAGTCAAACTGAGGAAAACAGTGTTAAATTACCAAAAGCAACCACCGATATAAAAAACTGATTGGTAGAAATTCGCTAAGCATTTATTATCAAAATGTTAGAGGTCTTAATACAAAATTAACTGACTTGTATTTGAACAGTTCCAATTTTAATTTCCATACAGAAACTTGGTTAAAACCTCACATTTTTGATAATGAGATTTTAAACAGCGAATTTCAAATTTTTAGATGTGATCGACTGAACAGAATCGGTGGAGGTGTTCTATTTGCCGTGCATTCCTCTATCCCATCTGAAAATATTCTTGTACCAGGGACCGACTCATTTGAATTTAAATGTATTAGAGTATACGTTAATAGTTGCTTTATTTATTTAACCCTATCTTATATACCACCCCATTCCCACTTATCTGTTTACATGCAGCATGCTTCTTTAATAAATAGTGCTACCTCGATGGCAAATAATGCAGATTCAATAATTGTATTAGGTGATTTCAATTTACCGTGTGCTTCGTGGAAACCATTCGGTGACTATATCGTGCCGATTTGCAATCGGTCATGTTTTAATGAGTTTTTCGAAAAAATGTCCGAGTTGGGTCTGAACCAAATTAATTTGATTCCGAATAAATTTGGTAAATGCTTAGATTTAGTATACGTTGATACCTCTGCAAAGTGTTCCGTTATTCAGAGTAATCCTCTTGTTCTACCAGAGGACTCATATCATCCTGCTTTGGAAATATCTGTCGAAATCTCAGGCATTGTACGGGATAATAATCATCAAACTTCGTGCTTCTGTACTCGGTTTAACTTTGCAAAAGCTAATTTAAAAAAATTAAATATAGAACTTTCTACAATAACATGGCCTAATTATAATGGTGACATTGAATTGAGTGTCTCTCATTTTAATAATATTATTATGAAATTATTTGAAAAGTATGTTCCAATAGTAATTGTTAACAAAAACAAAAGTATAAGTCCGTGGTTTTCGAAAGAGTTATATAAATTGAAAAACAGAAAAACTCGAGCCTTTAAACATTTTAAAAAAACCGGTTCACTTGTCGACTATTTTAAATATTCGCTATTGCGTCGACAATATTTTGACCTAAACAAAAAATGTTATAATAATTACTTAAATAAAGTTAAAAAAAATATTGTAAGTAATCCAAAATCGTTTTATGATTTCGTCAACTCCAAACGCAGGATTTCCAAATTTCCGTCCGCAATGAAATACAAATCTATCATTTCAAGTGACAATGATATTATATCCAATATGTTTGCAGAATTTTTCAAGTCAAACTACTGTAATAATTCTTCCAAAACTTTTTCTTATCAGCAAGTGCTGTGTTCGAATACTTTAATTAACGCTCCAGTTATTTCTGAAGAAGACGTCCTTTTTAATTTAAATAAGTTAAAACCATCTTTTAGTTATGGCCCAGACATGATACCCTCATGCTTCCTAAAAAATAGTGCCAAATATATTTACTTGCCTTTGACAAGGATATTTAATTCCTCTCTTAAACACGGTATATTTCCTTCAATATGGAAACAGTCATTTATAATCCCTTTGCATAAAAGTGGATTTAGATCCAACATTGAAAACTATAGAGGTATCGCAAAACTATCAGTTATACCTAAACTTTTTGAAGCTATCATCACTGACCATATAACCTTTTCGATTTCTCCGTTAATTTCCCCATCTCAGCATGGATTTCGTAAAGGGAACTCGACTATATCAAACTTACTTGAATTTGTAAACCATGTATCATTAGGTTTTAGGGAACATAAGCATACGGATGTTATATACACAGACTTTAGCAAAGCTTTCGATAAAGTAAATATCTCGATTCTCATACATAAACTTGATCTGCTGGGCTTTCAGCCAAGATTCCTTCAATGGGTATCTTCCTATCTTTATAATAGAACACAACGAGTGATATTTGAGGATACACCTTCAGATACAATTAATGTTTCTTCTGGTGTTCCGCAAGGTAGTCATCTTGGCCCGATTCTGTTTTTGTTGTTTATTAACGATATCTCTTCAGTAATAGAATTCTCAAAAATTTTATTATACGCTGACGATGTAAAGCTTTTTAAATCATACACTTCAACTGAGGAAAGGTGTCTGTTGCAAACAGACTTAATCAATTTGGTTGCATGGTGTGATAGAAATGATTTGCCATTGAATCTCAATAAATGTAAGACGAGGTGCTTTTCCCGTAGATCTGTGCACCCCTCTTCTTACGTAATAAAACACCATATTCTAGAGCAAGTTTTAAACTATGTTGATTTGGGAGTTAATATGGACCCTAAGCTTAATTTCAGTCTTCATATTGATACCATGGTCTTGAAAGCAAAAGCTGTCCTCAGTTTTGTTAAACGTTGGTCTAAAGAATTTAGAGATCCGTATATTACTAAAACACTTTATACAACTTTGGTTAGACCTATATTGGAATATGGCTCTGTGGTATGGAACCCTAGCTACCAAATCCATTCTGACAAGTTAGAGTCGGTTCAAAAACAATTTTTACTTTTCGCCTTAGCGCATTTCCGATGGGATGCTAGGGTAAGTCTACCTCCATACACAAGTCGTTTAAAACTTATTAATCTACCTACACTTTCTAGTCGTAGGGAAATGCTTGGCATAATATTCTTAGTGAAACTTTTGAATGGAACTGTTTGCAGTTCTTTTCTCCTGTCTGAAATTAAATTTAATATCCCGGTTCGCCTTTCGAGGCAGTTTAGACCTTTACTGCTAAAATCCTGTAGATCAAATTTTGAACTAAACGAGCCATTCCGCCGTATATGTCATGATTTTAATTCTCATTGCAGCACATTTGACTTATCTGACTCACTTTTCAAAATTAAAAAGACTTTATTGTTTTCTCTTAATAAATGAGAATTTAACAATTTATTATATTGTAACTTTAGATCTTAGCTGTTGAAATTTTTGTTTCTGTAGCTGAGCAGTTTTAGATCTCAACACTTAAAAAACTCTCTTGCCTTTTCTGACTCGGCTAATTCCGCACGTATGCGGATTGCGCCCCTCGCGTCGGTTGGGCGGGAGGAGGGTAATCGTTGGGTTTATTATTTATTATTATTAAGTATGTGTATATATAAATAAAGAATTAACACAAAACATCCATCATACGATAGCCTTGATATTATATATGGCAACTCGCTTCCAGAAATAAATCAAATCATTCAGTTTTCTATAGTAACGAACAGTTTATAATTTTTTTTCAATCGGGCATTTGGGATTACAGATTTAAGAATTATTTTTAATAATGATTTTCGGGATTATAAAATAACAGTGGTTCTGACAGTGTATATAGTCACTTTTCTTGAAACTGAGCCAAAAGAACTGATGAAATACAAAATATTTTTATATCAGAAATTATGTATTCCTCAATTTTGTAATATCCATTTGAGTTAGTTTAAAGAAGCAGTTTTTGAAATATAAACTGTAACCTAAAATCAGCTTTGCATATTTTAAACCAATTAACCTCTTAACAAATTTAAGCGTTTAACTCGGAAAGAATAGCGCCAAAAAATTCTGGTTAAGATCAAATGTAATGCCCGGGTCCACAAGGTCAAAAAGTCTCAGAATTATAGCGCGATTAAAATCCTGACATGGAGTCTGTTATACTTGTAGTCTGTATAGGTCTGTTGACGGCGGCGTTAACTGCGCACTTAATCAGATCCAAATTTATAAGTGGCAGATAGCAGCAATCCGAGTTAGTGAACAGCTGATTGTCTTATTAAAATATTTTCAATTTATGGAAAACAAGCATTGCTATTGTTAACCGCGGAGTTAGTACAAAACCACAATTTGTTAAACAAAAATATAATTTCATTATTTTTAAAACTGCTTCAAAACATTAAATTGATGAAAGAAGTGCAAAATACTGGAAACGAGTACCAGAGTAACGTCTTCAGAAGTAAGTCAAATTTTTCACTTTGCAGTGAAGCTCCTCCGCGGTGTATCTGCCGCACATATCTTGTGAAATATCATTGTATTTATACAAGTATGTATATGGGTATTTCTTTTTGCTTTGCGAAGGTCGTGGAAACGCGCCCACCACTTCTCAAGCAGCTCTATTTCATCGTGGAGTGTAGATTCTGAGCGCTTTTTTCTTGGTACTATCTCAAACTGAAACAAAGATAATTGTTTTGATTTAAAAGTAATATGTATACTAAATACTAAAGTTACTAACTTTTTATTTCTGTTCATCTTTTCTAGTTTGTAATTGCAATTATTTTTGGAAAACAAGTGTCAGTTTGGTTATTTTTCATTCACAATCAATATTCCACATAAATAATATTTTTCTTTCTTTGCAGGGAGCTTTATGCAATAATAGAAAATCATAAATTTACAAAAGCGTCTTATGGCAAATTACAAGCAATGTGGCTCGAAGCCCACTACATTGAAGCGGAAAAATTGCGTGGCCGATCACTAGGTACGTAGCTTTAATTATATGAATTGTATATTAATGGATCATGTGTCAATGTGGGTTCTGAATGAGCTAAAATGAAGAAGACATCAAGTTGGTGTGGTAACTAGAAAGTATTGTAAATACAGTTACTATCTCATATAGTGTGACATATCAACTGTTTCAGCTCTTTTAGTTATTGCATTTGTGAACGTAAGTTGTAGGTATGGACTCATGACACGTTCGAGGATTAACGCGGATTTTTTAGCTTTAAAAACAGAAACAAAAGCGATCACTCTCGTTTCGTGTTTGGCCAAAAAGTCAGTCACAATCGTGCTAGAATGTGACGGCGTTTTATCATCGAACGAATTAAAGGCGAACCACAGATAATTCGTAATTAACAGTGATGGATGGACTTGGTTTTTGACGTCTACGCAAGGAAGAGTGCGTATTCAGCTAGTCAAAAATGGCTCACAAGGTAGAGACGCTAAGTAAAACAACAGCTTACTAAAATACTGCGCAGCGTCTTTAAGAATGGTAGTAATTACGCAAACCGTAGTCATTCTCAATTAGATCCTCAATATACCAAAAACTGCAAAGCAAGGTTGGTTGTCTGTGATTGTTTAGGGCTACTATACATTGCTAGGTATCAGTCCGCTTATAAAATTCTATGGAAAAAGTTAAAAGAAATGTATGAGGATGTGGTATGGAACATCATCTCCAATACCAAATTGTCCACAAAATTCCGAAAGTTCATTCTACACAACAATATAAATGTGTTAAAATACTTGTAGGACTTTAATTTTATCACAATAAAAATAAGAATATCAAAGAAATAATTTTAATATTAATATATTTAAGATAAATTATTTGCTTTTATAGTTCATGATGACAAGTTTATACAGTTAAGGGGGGTTCATAAATTACGTGAGATGATTTTTTAAATTTTCTGTCCCCCCTCCCCTTTGGTGAGATGTCGTGAGGTTTTATTCAACCCCCTCCCCCGTCCCCCAATCTTACGTGAGATTTTTTAGACTTACGCAAATGCGTTGGATTGATATTGTAAAAAGTAAAACAAATTGGAACGTCCTTTTATTTACGTCTAGTAATCAATATTGCTGAGAGTTATAAATGTAATAAAAATTTATAAATAGAATACTAAAATCATGACTACTGTGTGTAAAAAAAAATAATATCTTCTCTAATTCAGTCAAAAGAGACTAATGGAACTAAAGGAAATAACCGCGCTAATATTTTATAGTTATGGTTTTAGAATATTTTATCAAGAATTTCAGCGTTTCAGTTTTTTTGTGCTATTAATCGTAACAATAAAGTTTATATAAAAAAAATATTATCTTGAGAAAATATATTTAACCTACCTTTTGAAAGAATGCTAAAGTAGACCGAACTTTTCTCTCAGTGGCTTCTCTGAGAAGCCGTTCAATCTGTGATGTGTTAACTCTTCTTTCTTCGAGAATTTTTGCTTCGCTGTATTCATAATTCTATCACATCGTCCTGGCAGGACTTCTTCGTTTTATAGACGTATCTTTTGATGTATGCATTACAAAAATCTTGATAACTCATTTTAAAATAATAAGAGCATGCACTGAGTAGAGTAAAACAATTACAAAAATAAACAAAGCAGGTTAGAACCTGTCCGTGTGTTGCTGCCACTCAGCTCGTACGCTCTCGTTCATCGGGTCGCAAGTTCGGCTGACAGTGGAAACAAAGGACGGGCTACACTGTACCGTAAATTCATACTAAAGTGAGCTATTTGGTGAAAAATAAATATGGTGGTATGAAATTCAGTAGATGTATAACGTCGAAGTATGAATAAAATTATTTTCTTTCGAACGAATTAGTAAATAATTTTAATCGTATTACGACGACGCTTAAGATTGTCGATCTCCAAGAGGATCTGCGAAAAAAAAAAAAAATTATCTCAATTCCAAAACCCAAAAATATATAATACAAGTATTTATTATAACTATAGATGATTTGATTTTTGGCAAAATGGCGGGTTCGAAAAAATATTTTTTGTTTGTGAAAAAATGAATATTTCAGAGTGACTTCTAATCTAAACTCTTATTTCTTCTATCGTTACCTAATATATACATACATATATCTAAAGTCGTGTGCAAATTTCAATGCGATCAGTCCAGCCGTTTCGCAGAAATTTTCTCTGAAACACCGATTTGAGAAAAACGCGTTTGAATTTTTGAGATTACAATAAGTTACAAAAAATCTTACAAATACGCTCACATCTCCGAAACTGTTTGCCGGATCAACTTGAAATTTTGGAAGAATATTTTCAAATATATGTACTTGTATATTTGATACAAATGCAAAAAATATCGATACTTTGAATTTCACAAGTGAATTACCTTAAATACCAGCGATCTCATTTACAGTAATCACATTTTTTTAATGAAGGGACCTAGTTATATGTCCACAAGTCCCATTTAAGGTTTATAATAAATTCGAAGTAAACAAAACCAGCAGGTGCAGTTATGAACTTAGTAGTAGAAGAAGAACATATTTTCCATCTAAATGTCAAATATAATCGCTCTATAACACCTAGCTTTCTTATGTGAGAACGTATAGGCAATGTTTGAACAGTATTAAAAGTTGAAACAATTTTTCACTTAAGCTCTTTCGAATTAAAATAAATAAGAAAATTTCATTTTTGGTTCCTTTATAAAAATGCATCACTCCCATATGTAATTATTTTTGCTTATAAATTACTACTATTCAAGGTCCCGTGGACAAATACCGAGTGCGAAAGAAGTTCCCCCTACCACCCACGATCTGGGATGGTGAACAAAAGACACATTGCTTTAAGGAGCGAACGAGAAGTTTGCTGCGTGAGTGGTACCTTCAGGATCCGTATCCGAATCCGACAAAAAAGCGCGAATTAGCGAAAGCAACTGGCCTCAATCCAACTCAAGTGGGGAACTGGTTTAAAAATCGGAGGCAGAGGGATCGAGCAGCTGCTGCCAAAAATAGGTGAGTCCAATATAATTTGTTATAAGCCATTGGTGCATTATCTTCATGCACAGATAAATACATCTTTGTAGTTGTTGTAGAATGGGGAATATTAAAACTCATTAGCGGAAAGTGTAGCATTTCACTGAAAACCACTAAACAGATGACAGCTGGTTACAAATAAATCAATGTGGCCTGTGTCAATTTGCACGTGTGCGAAACGATCCACACAGGCGGTTGCCTGATCGAATGTGGAGTAACGGCTCAGAAGTATGCTTAGGCGAAGCAAGTCAAGCGCAAGCTGTGTACGGTGAAAGGAAATCTGATACTATCCCATGAAGTATCCATACACATATACTCGCACACATACCCGTAAGTATGTAAACTTAATGGGTTCCTATGAGCATAGGCGAGTAATCACTTTTCGTACTTACTGTACATTGCAAACCCCTTTTCTTAATAAACTTACCATCGCTGGGAACTTACATGTAATAATATTCGAACGATCTTCGATTGATCTCTACCGAACACACGGCTGACCCCGGCCGCACGCATGCTTCTCAATTTCTTATTTGCGGTTAAGAGTTTTTCATACTTATTACCACATCAAATTGACCGCCGATAAGAGCGGCACTTTGTAAATAAATAAAATAAATAAAATAAAAAATACACAAAAATACGCATACTAATGCATTGGTATTTACCTATTCATACATAATTCATACGAGTATATACGCACATACCCTTAAAGATCATAGTAATGAAATTCTTGTGTTTAATGCACGCCTGTCCATTAAGCGTGCTCCTGTTAAACCAAGTCCGAGACATTTTTGCCGAAAAAATGTCTTTAATTTCCCTGCTTGGTCTCTGAATTCTTAAATTGAAGTTGCCAGCACAAAAGCTGGCGACATATTCATATGTTACTGGTAGTGGAAAAGCTTTGTTTGCATGAGAACCACTGTTTTTTAAATAAGCGCTGGCGCAAATCAAATATTTAATTCTTCCGTAGTTAAACAGATTTTGCGCTTAAATTTGGTATTTTGTTATTTGTAGAAATTCATATTATATTATGTTTTAAAAAACTATTTTTCTAACAAGATAAATACTGAACACCTGCTCTGGATTATTTCATTTAATGGTTGATAAATCAAACATCAACAAATATCGGAATGAAACTTAGCGTAAATATTACTACCAAAGTGTGCCACGTCTCAGCTAAAAATCATCGAAATCTGACAATAATTTGTCAAGTCCCGTGATACAGAATATGAGCACCTGAATGCCTCTAACTGATTTGAATTTTCATTCTTAATCAAGTTAAGGGGACATATTTTCCTAATAGGTTAATAACACAGCTCTACAAACAAAAAAATAGTTTTTCTGGTTGTTATGGATATCTTAGCAAATTTTGATATTTTCAAGTGTCCAGATTACGAATATTATTATGTAATGAAAGTATTGAATATGCTTTTATTTATATGATTATTACACATCTAATATTTTGGTAAATTATCGGCTTGTTAGTAACAAAATTTGTTTTTCCACTTATGATTAGGGTTCTGCGCACCTTTTTCGCAAAATAAAACATGGAGATATCTAGACTGACAGTCTACTTATACAAAATGTCCTGTTTTACTCAATAAAAATTTCCTTTTGGTTTTTAAAGGTCACTGATATACTCTCAGAAACAATGATTTCGCCTAATTAGAAATCGGTATGTTCTACCGGTGGCAGTGAATCGGAGGGTGAGACATCTATACCAAAGACATTGGCTGACTTCGAAAACGTCAATTGCAATGTATAAGAACAAAGTATATTATCCTGTAATGCCTTCGAAATTTTTTTGACATTGCATCATGTTTTGAAATGCATTAAACCGGCAGTCGATCCGCAGTGACAGAGAAAATCACTCATCACAAATAAAGTTGATGCTTTTTGACATTTTCATATGCAAGGATGGTGGAATGAGATTGTAAAGTTGTTTTATTAATTTATACTAAATTTGCATTAAATTCACAGATTATGGCAAGAATATAATGTATTTTTCTATATATTTTGTTGATGTTGTGCTTGTATTTTCGATGAAAAGTTAGCAATTATTTATAATAAAACTTTTTGGTTTATATTTTAACATATTCTATATTTAAAAACCAACAGTTTGTAAAGTAAACGTTGCAGTAAAAGTGTTCTATAACGGTAAATTATGCAACGCATTATTTTGCAAGTTTGTTTGACGTTGCATATTAACGATGTATAAATACTGTAGTCATACTGTATCGATACTTTGCAGTAGTACGTTTTCGAAGGCAACCATTTTCTCAAAATGAACTCAGTGATTTAATACTTAATCAAGTTAGGAATGATAAAGCAATTTTCCAAAGCGGTACATGTAATAGAATATTGTTTCAGTTACATTTGTAAAAAATTTCAGAAGCTTAGTAAGGAAAAGTTGAAAGGAAGAATATTTAATGTACGGCAATTAATGAAAGATAAAGCTTTTATTAGGGTTATGACTGTTCCGCAAATTGAAGCTTGAAAAAGTTTTGTGAGGATATAAAAACAAAGTTTTTCAAAACAAAACTGACATTTTATACATATCAGCTAGTTTCATGTTTTCTGTTTTTGTTAAATCTAAAATAAAGATTAGAAAATAAACGAGAGCAAATCCTACAAAATTTTTGATAATTTCATGAACTGTGAGCACAAATATATTCAAAATCGATGTTATAGCTAGGTCAACAAAACCACTGTAGACCAGTGTACTGTGACCTGGTACTGCAATTTACTAAACAGTTCAGATCAATACTTTCTCTTTATCCAGAATATAATATCAATGCGTGAGTTATCTTAATAAAATTAGGTGGAAATATTTTCTTGATCATACTTGAAGTGTACAAAATTCAAAGGTGTCCAAAATAGATGAAATCTATTCAGAACGTTGCTTAGTCCCACTATACCAGTATACCTAATATAAGCGACTTTAAGCGATTGTTGGCCGTTATGTTAACGAACGAACGATATATTTTATACCGAATATTAATGGATTATAGTAAAAAGTAAAATTTATTAATGAACACAATTTTTCTTTTAATTTCGACTAGTATTAGACACTGGCAGTTTGTAAGTTTCTTTTAAATTAATATTTTACTACTATTAGTAATGATCAATGATATTTCGTAGCCTTGTTGTGGAGCAGTTGTTAAGCATTACTGATGAGTCATGCTGGTGCTACTAAATAAAAACAAAGTACATCTTGAGCCTTACTTATATTACCACTTTTTGTATATTTTTATGTTTTCTATGTTCTTACCTTTACCATAAATCTTTGTATAATTGAATACGTATGTAGTGCTAGTCTGTTCATATTGAGAAAGGCTAACACGGCAATAACATCGTACTTAACCACTCCTCTTGTATCGCAGAATATTCAGATCTTCTGAACTACCATATTACGTTAACATCAACATCGTAGGCGAACGGTCATAGAAAGCTAAAAGAAACTCTTTAAGAAATACATACAAATATTTGGAGAAAAGGAGAATAATCAGGTCGAAAAACAATTTTTTACTATTTCGCAACTTTATGACCGGAGCTTGATTTAGATCGGTCAGTTTGCATGGCAGCTATAAGCTACAGTAGTTCGATCTGAACAATTTCCTAGCACATTATACCGTTACCTTTGATAATAATTCGCGTCAAATTTCGTGAAGATATCTAGTCAAATAAAAAATTTTCCCATACACAGACATGTATTTGATCGTTCAGATTGTACGACAGCTATATGGTGTAGTGTCCGATATCGGCGGGTCCGTCAAATGAGCAACTCAAAAACTGAGGCACTAGTTCGGGTATATACAGACAGATGGAGAAAAGAAGAAACAAGACATTTTTTTTACTACAGAAGCCTAGTAGTTAAAATTATGTCTGTGAATTTATAATTAAAAACTCGTAATTCTCCCTCGACCATATTTAGTTTCAATTCTAGTTGTCCGCGCCGCTGTTTTTCCATGGTTTTTGTAAAGTTTGTAGTGTGTGCTGGTTTTCTTGGCCTGTTTTTTTGAAGCTCATAACTATACAAATGTATATTTTGCAATTTCATGCGATTATTGCAAAGCAAAGCAACTGAACGCTCTTCTATTAGCCTTAACGTGGCCATTGGCGGGCTAGCAAAACGCCATAGCATGTGCATACATGCATATACCTATACACACACTTAGGTACTATTTGCTTGCTCACTTACACAGGTAACACTTGTTTTATGCCCCGTCAGCACACTTAACTTGTTCACGTTTTGTTTGCACCTTCTATGCTTGCTGTCTCCTTAGCTTCTTCAACAGCGCAATGAAGGCGCCTATGTATTTAGTGAGTGAAGTCGGTTCTTCCTTCTTCAGTACTTCCATGGGAGCGCAATTCCCTTCTGTTTTCTGTTTGTCGTCCATACCTGAAGCAGCGAACTCCGCTGCATTATCGTTGACCTCAAAAACATTTTAAGAAAATGCGTAGTTGTTTTATATTGCAAAATTTATTGCATGTCAGCAAATTGGATATTTAAACGGCCCTTTGTGTATACGTAATTTTGTTCATCGCTAAATAACTACATAATACGAATATGTCTGTTTCTACCGTCATGCACACATACATATGGATTTATTTAATCAATACTTAAAGCTGTACTAACATACGCTCGTCAGTCTACTCGTATATGTACATATATATACCTTAGAAGTAGAATTTGGAAGTACACTATGTAGATATATTAGGGGTCATAATTCCTTAACCACTAAGAGTTTGTACGTTCGATTTTGATAAATCTAAATTTTCTCAATTAGTACCAAAACGAAATAATTGGCCACTACTTTTATTCACTTTTGCTTGTGCTCTTGCTCTTTAGAATCGATATCTTAGATCTCACTTCGAAACTGCGCCACAGGAGCAGAACAATTTTTTTGACAGGTGAGCGGCACCTTTTCTTTTTTAGACCTTGAGCCTTGAGAGAATAACGCCGAGGTATTTATATATGA